GTGCAGCCCTGGGGAGGGACAGGAAAGGAGGAGACTCATGAATGGAGGCGATCCGCACGGAGCCGCGTGTCCCTGGGGATGGAAGGGACAGGCAAGTGATCGGGGCAGACACGCACGCAAGGAATCGCGTGGGAAATGCGGGGGGTGACCCGGGGGTATCCCCGGAGCGGTGCCACAAAGTCCCGGGATCACAGCGTGTGGCCGGAGCAGTGTTGGGGATGGCAGCGCACGGACTCGGGGACACGCCGAGAGCGAGCAAATCACCTTAAAACCGTCACGGCAAGCAAAMAAGCCGTACGAAATAAAAGCAGAAAATCCACCCTAAATGCGCTTTATTCATTTGTTTTGATGATCGCAGCACAGGTTTAATTATTTATGGCGTGTTTTGTAACATGCCAGGAAAGGTGCGGCAGTGACGAGGGCTCCCGGCTCGCGCGCTCCGGGCGCCCAGGCGGAGCCGCCGCGAAYAGGGCATTAAATCTTCTGCTCACACTAAGTTTTCTATGAGGGAAAAAGCCCAGGCTCTCCCACCAAGGATTCCCATGGAAGGAAAGGGTGCGGATGCTCGTGCTGGGGTCTGCCCAGCCTCACGCCTCCGCTGCCTGCTGGCAACGCGAACGATTCCCATCGAGCACCATTAGCTTTCCAGGTTTTTCTCTGGAGATGCTCAACGGCGGCGCAGTCCCACACATCCCGGCGCGGCTCCGTGCGGCACAGCCAAGGACGGAGCCACTCCATCGCAGCGCCCTTGAGTGCCCTTGAGTGCAGAGGATGTGGAAAAGACTGAAAAATCCCAAACCCGCTCCTCACGGATCCCTCCCCGCTCCCGCCATGGATGCGGCTGCAAGGAGGCGGCGTGCAGGGAGGAGGAGGAGGAAGAAACAGAGCCGGGCACGGGAAGAAGCTGCTGGGAAGGGAAAGCTTAAGGGATGCAGCACCCAGCTGGATGCCTCTGGGTGCTCCCAAAAGCATCCCGAGYGGAGCCGCTCCGGGCGCGCGCTCCGGCTCCCCTGCCCGCAGCAGGCGACGCTGCGGGGCTGGCAGGCGCGCGCAACCCGCTCGCTTTGGTCTGCGCCATGTGCTTTTAATGAGCCATCCAATGTTTTGTGAATCGCGCTGGCAACATTAATTCTCCTGCAACGAGACAGATCCCGGCGGCCTCAGGCAGCTCCGGGGCCGCCTGTTGAGCGGGCGGGCGGGCGCCACTGCGCTCCCGGGAGCCGGCACGCGGCTGCGCCGAGCGCGCTCCTGCTCGCACCAAATACCGCGTGGAACAAGAGAGACCCAATCCTCCAGCCTCCTCCTATGGAGGCTGCTCCATATGAGGAGGGATCTGCCACGGAGCAAGCGGGCCAGCGCTGGGACCTCCCAAGGACATGACACGAAAACATCAGGGCTCAGCCCAYGAAGTTGCTGCATTTTTCCGTACATGAAGATTCCAAGTGACACTTTCCCCTTTTCTCTTTTTTTGGGGGGAGGGGGGAGGGGGGAAAAAAGCTGCCTCACAAGCTTAAAACCCATGAGCGCCACAGGAGCATCGCTCGGCATCCCACGGGAGCGGGCGCTCGCTCCGTGCCAAGCAGAGCCGCCTGGCAGGTGGCGGCTTCGCACCCGCTCCCGATGCCACCCGTCTGTGCCAGATGGACGGGATCGGGATCCAGGGTGGCAGCGGCGAGCGCGGGAGGAGCCGCCGGCTCCTGCCCTTTCGCGAGGCTGGCAGCGCAGCCAGCAGGCCCAGGCGTCCGGCAGCTGCGGCAGCGCCCGGAATAGCTGGGCCCTGCTGCCAGCCCGGGCGAGCAGGAGCACCGGTGCCAACGGGGGACGTGGCTGGAGGCGCTGCCAGCACCGCTGGCACCGGCTGCGGGTCGCGCTCGTGAGAAGCGTGTGGTTGCGGTGCAGAAATGCAGCCAAGGTAGGGACCTTTGCAGCAGGAAAACCATCCGCTTCTCCTGCCATTCCACGTTTAGCCCTGGTGCAACCCCAAATATCCCGCAAGACAGCAAGGCCCCCAAAACAGATCAAAAGCTCCCCGAAACGAGCTAAAAGACACATCTGCCATTCCCAAACGGTGGTAGCACTGCCCTGGGAGGGGTCACATCCACCCTTCACCCCCTTGGCTGGTGCTGGGGGTAAGGAGACCACCCAACGAGAGCCTCATTGTGACCCCCAGCCAGGAGCCCTGGCGCCTCCGAGGCCTGGGTGCCCACGGGGCCACTCCGAGTCCAAAATGGGGTCGGGATGGGAGCAGCTCCATCGGCCCCACTGTCCCAGCCACGCTGGCTCCTGCTCTGGGAAGCCCAGGTGCCACTTTCCCCCCTYGCAATCTGAACATTTTGGCATTGGGGAAAAATTAAATAAATAAAACAAACCACTCCTAAGCTCTTCCTCCCCTCCTTCCTCTTTCTCCCACTCCCAGGCAGCCCTCGCAATCAGCCCGGCTGCCGGAGAGGAATTTTTTCTTCATTTGCATCATTTCCATTCATTCCAAAAGTGGAAACCATGCAGGGGGAAGGGAAAAAAAACCCTAAAACCAGCTGACAGCAAAGTTTTATTATCCTCGTTGGGTGGCGGGGAGCAAAGCAGCAATATTTTAGTGAGCGCTAGAACTTCTCTTCCTGGCGTCCCTGGGTGTCACAACACCCTCAGCTGGTGGTGCCAAAGAAGGGGACAAGTCCTGGTCTGGTGACACCCCAGGTCTTCCAGGTGACCCCATGCAGGGACAAGGTGCCATGGCCCTGCCTTGGGCTCCCTGGTGCAGCTACCCAAGGGAGGTCCAGGGCAGAGCAGGACCTGGAATGAACAGGAGCATCCCAAGATGGGGATGCTCCTGGGGGCCAGGATGGTGGGATGCAGTGGGATGCTCCCAAGCCGAGCTTGCAGGATGCAGCGGGATGCTCCCATGCCAGGCCCGTGGGATGCAGCCTTGCCGGGACATCATGGTGGAGTGGAGCTGGGCGGAGGGGATCAATACATGACACAGAATCGATCCTGCTAATTGAGCCCCTTGGCAGCAGCACAGGGAATCCGGAGGGGGAAAGGATGGGGAGGTGGGAGTAGGTGTTTCTGTGCAGCCCAGGATGATGCTGGCGCTAAGGAGAGGGAGCCAGGACCAAGTGGAGGGACCAACCCTTCTCCTCTTCCTCCTCCTCCTCAGGGGGCCAGCTCATGCCCATGGCAGGCCTGGCTTTACCCACCTTTTCCAGAAAAAAAATCCAGACACTGGGCAGTCGAGCACCTTGCCAAGGTCACAYGGGAGCTGGACTTAACCGTGAGCCAACACCAAGCCCGTCACCTCCTGCATGCAGGTACCACATCGAGTCCCAGTGCCACCCGCGAGGCTGGGGCCACCCACAGAGCTGGTCACTGTTCCCAGGGAGGAGCCAGGAGCAAGACACAAGGACTGGCTGGAGCATCCGAGCAACCCTCCCTCACTCGTCCCTCCCACGTCAGCTCCTGGCTGTGAATAAAGCCCTCAATGACAAAGGCACCAATCCTGGGCATCTGTACCAGGACCCGTGACTGCCCACCTTGTTTTCACCACCCTCCTCCTGGGCTCCCAGGGCAGGCTGCAGCCCCTGGGCTCTTCCCTTGGGCACAGGGAGCCTTTGGCAGCCRAGCACGGAGCCATTTCCAAAATCATGCGAGCTCCAGCGGCACAGGGGGGAATAATTAGCACCTGGAAACCTCATCCCTCAAGGAAATGGGACATCTTGGYGGCTCAGCTGGGTGACATTGGGGCCAGGGGACCCATTGTGGGTATTTCTGCAAGCTCTGGGTGCCCGGGCTGGTGCAGCAGGACAAGGGCACCCACATCCCACACAGCACCAGGAGAGGAGCGAGTGCAGCGCAGGGGGCTCCTGCTTGCCCCATCTGTAGCTATAGCCGATCAGGCTGGCGGGGGTCTCCAGCTGCATCACCCCCCACGTTGTCCCCTCATCCCGCCCRGCTGAAATCCCTCCCACACCCCTAGAGATGCTTGTGAACGGATGCTGCTCCCCAGGGGCATTTTCCAGGGCGAGGCACCCCCAAAGGCAGCTGCCCTCGGGCACGCTGGCATCGGCGCCGGAGAGAGCACAATATGAGGAGAACAATAGAGGGGCGAAGCCGGGCGAGCGCCGGTGACATCCGCGACAAGGGGAGACAAAGGGAGCTCCGCTAGTGACGGCGCCGGCCTCGCCGCCTGCCACGCGGGCCCCGTACGCGCCCCCGGGGCGAGTGCCCCGGTCCCCTGCACGCGTGGGCACCCCCGCCCTGCGCAGGCACCTGCAGCGCCGAGCTCGCACCCGCATCCCTGCCCGCATCCCTGCCCGCATCCCGCTGCTCGCGCCCGCATCCCTGCTCGCATCCCGGCGCACACACCCACACGCCGGCGCACGCGTTCCCGTGGGAGGCCCGGTCCCCATCACCCCCAGCCGTGCAGGGCACCACGGAGCGGGGCGGCGGAGCGGCCCGGGGCTTGGCAGGCAACGCTGGGAGGTATTTTAMGCGCCCCCGCCCCAACCTGAGCGCAGCCTAGGATGGGGTCGGTTTTCTCCCTCCGGCGCTTTGTGCTTTATCAGCAGCCGGGGTGCGGGGGGACAAGGGGCCAGGTGGGGAGCGGCTCAGAGCCCCGTCCTGCCCCCCCGCCGAAGTCGCCAGCCCCGGTGTGGGAGGGACACCCAGACCCCGGTGGCCCTGAGACCCCCTCCCTCCGCCAAACTCCTCGTTAAAGCTCCAAAACGGCTGCAACCGGGACGAAATAACCGCAGCCTCGGGGAGCCCCCACCCTCGGCGACCCCTCCAGCTCCCCCCGCGGCTCCGGTAGCGGCCGCTCCCGGGCGGCGGCGACGCTGCAGCGGCAGCTCGGAGGGAGGAGGAAGGGGAAAAAATAAATAAATAAAAGGGGGGAAAAATAAAAGGAAAAAAAAAATCAAAAGGGGAGGAAAATAAAGCAAAAAAGCACACAAATAAAAAAAATACCTGCTACTTAAGAATGGATGCACATAGTGAGAGTGACATGCCTTGGGAGGGTGTATTCCCCATCGCGGCGCCGCTCCGCTCCGCGCTGCGTCCCCGCGCGTGGCTGCGGCCCGGCCCGGCCGCGGAGGGGGGGACGGGCCGGGGAGGGGGGGGAGCCGCGCCGCCCAGGAGCGAATGGGAAAAACACATTAGCTCATGATGGATTAACGCGTGGGGAGCCGCCCCCCCCGCCGC